AACTTGATACCTGCAACTCGACACGGCCGCCACAACCTTTCCTGCCGATTTGTACGTTGTTACGCCTTTTTCTACATTACTCCCTCGCCTTTTCTAACTTACACTGTCTCCTAAATTACGCTGTCGTGTGTCTCATATGCATAAATCCACGTTCTATGTATTCCATAACTTCGTACAGTGCACTGTCCACTCATGGTTGTCGCCGCTACCGCTACCGCTCCCGTCGTGGCTGCACACGTCAGCTTAACGAGGGGGTGCTGCTGTGCCGCCGCATGTGCGTTGTTGTTTTGTTGTGGCGCCACCCGTGCGCGGTCGTATCCAGTCGTATATTCGTATTCGTGCTTTCTCCCCATCGGTCCTTACCTTCCGGTTCCTTTGGTGGTGTTGCAGTGGCGTCCGGTATTGCCGGCTTGTTGGCGGCCTGCCCGTGTTTGCCATGGTTCGCTGCAATAAAGGAACAAATAGGAATTAGAAGTGTCAGTATTTACTTTTTATATTATTCGCAGCATACAGAAACGAACGTTGTTCACATAACTGCATCTTGTTTCGTGTCGCTCTGTCCCTTTTACTTCGACACTGTCTGTAGTTGTCGTCTGTGTACTTATCCGTCCTGTTGCGTTCGAAGCTGTCTCAGGATGCACAAACGTGGCATGCCTTACCGGACTTCCCCTTCGTCGCCTGTTGCCGTTTTTGTACGTCCTGGTCTACCTGTTTTCCGATTTCCGTAAGTAGGTCGTGGATTCCGGTCTTCAATTCATGGACTAGCGGAGCAATCTTCAACGCTTGCGTATCCTCTATAGTGCCATTCCCTAGGATGTCCTCTAGGTTCCATTCCTTCCTCCACGGCGTCGTGCACAGTTTGTGTCCTTTTATTTTCTGTATTGCGTGTTGTAGTTTGCTATTTCCTTTTAACCATTTGCTGACGTGTTCATTTAACTCAAGTTTTCTTATTTTCAAACGCGCAAATAGTTCTCTACCACATGTCCCGTTCTGTATGAAACCTCCCGAAACACCTCCGGGCTGCCCTGTCTTGTCCATTATTGTCCATGCATAAACAGTTCCCCATTCACTTTTGCACACGGATTCGTTTAATACTTCGCTAAACATATGTGCTATTATGCATCGTAAGTGCTGCCTTATGCTTTCATTTATGTCGTCTTCCTTCTGCCTGTCCCGTTCTTGCGCAGTCCACCCATTCATGTAATATAATGCCCCTACCATAAGTACGCATATAATTTTATGCCCCACGTTGGACGGTACATAGACGTGACCGTCTTGGTAGTCGGGGTGCTCCCATCCTGTGTTATCACAGGCCGTTGCATACGATGTTATGTGGTCATTCTGCATGTATTGCACAAATTCCTTCATTACATCCTTGGTCTTCTTCCACACTGCTTCCTACAATGTAAGAGAAACACAGGAAATATATACATGCGCATGTGTACTTTAATTCTATGTGCGACGATGTGCTGCATTCTCACGTGTAACAATAAAAGCCTGGCACTGAACGCCCCGTTGTGCTCTTCTATTGCTGTATGTGCCTACCTCATAGTCCTCCTGTTTGTAAATGCCCGCGGCGAGTACCCATTGCGCCAATGCGTGCGCCAAATTTACCGTTCCCATATTACTACTATTCACTGAAATATACTGTACCCGTTATAAATATCTATAGACTACTAGTATTCTTATTCTTGTTATATTGCATGAATTCCCTTTTACTTCCAATTTTAGTCCCTAATACTGCCTATGTCTGTCTTCACTGCTTCGTGCCTTGAAATCAAACGTTCCATAAAAACAGAAAAAATCAAGCACCTAATGATAGAAGGAAGAATGTACAAAAACAGAAAGTGTCCATAGGAGTTGCTTACACAAAATACAGGGAAGAAAAGAAAACAATAAAACAAAATAAAAAAAGAGCACAAAGAAAAGAAAAAATAGGAAAAACACTACACGCAACGCGTCATGCATATACACCCCCCGCCCCCGTGTCTACACCGGTCTCCACTAAACGCCTGCACACACGTTGTCTCTCTGTGTGCGTACACCTAAAAACCGTGTACACTAAAAACCGCAGTATAACAACAACATCAATTTCTTCTGCCGTCGTTGCTGCCGTCGTTGCTGCGTTGCGTCCGTCGTTCGTGCTCCCGCAAATAATATATGTGTTCCTTCTCCGCCACGGTCCACTGCACCCTCTGTACGCCCTCTCTGTGGATCCTTCCCTCGAACAAGCTTCGTTTACGCGGCCACGTTTGCTCGCAAGAGCCGTGCGTACGCGACCGCTTTGGTCGACGCGTGTGCTCGGCGAGACAAGCTCTCCCTCCTTTCTTGCACTCGGCTACTTCGTCGAATCGTTGTTACAATCGGCCGCGTTGTTCGACGCGTTTGCTCGGACACAATGCTTACTAGGACGCGGCAACGACGGCAGCAACGACGGAAGAAGAATTTGATGTTGTGACTATGTTGTTTTTCGTTTTAGTGCACGCACAGAGAGAGACAGTGTGTGTGACAGGCGTTTAGTGGAGAAGGGGGGTATTCTTGGTACGGCGGTTTTTTGTTGTTCAGGAGGGTATTTGTGGTTCAGGATTTTAGTGAATAGAAGGCATATTCTGAGTATGTGATGCTACCATTTCCCATTACACGAATGTGATTCCGACAAATAATGTTCAATTAATGCGGACTTTGAATAAGTATCGAGCAGAGTGACATCCTATATAAAACTAAAATAGCGGCAGAGCCATGTGGGATTATTTGTTAGTACTATGGGACGATTTTATTGAGAATAAGGACAATGTAGGAGTGAAGCACGATAAACGATTTCAGGTATGTTCATGTATGTAAATGAGTGAGAACGCGAAGCTGAATAATACTATGAACGTGTTATATAATAAAATTATGGAATATCCTAGTATAGATATAGGCTTTCATATTGTAGGGTGGTATGCGTCCTTAAGGAGGGTTGAATATATATGAAGGGGGAAGTGCAGTTATATGCACAATTATACAGCAACAACAAGCACGAGAGAGCACACAATTCATGCGGAAGCATATAATGAATGTCTTACTTATAGGAACTTTTTTGGAAAAATGTAAAGCACGTGTGGGAGAACTTTAGGACATATGTGCAGAGTGCGCCAGATGGAATAGCAGATACTTTCTGTGACCCTGGAATGAAAGAGCAAAGCGGTGGAGAATGGAACGTAGAAGACAAAGGTATATGCGAGATGGCGCTTATAGCGTTACGTTTCAAACATGGAATGAGTGCAATGGGGGTCCCTATGAACCGGGAATACAAGACAAACGACGAGGAGAAGATAGACCTCTATATGAGATGCATCCTGACAAATATATTTATGAAAAAGATAATGGGCATGAATTGTTTAAAGCGACCTGGTGGGAAGTTTGCTTTCAATCTTGTGCATGGCGAGATAACGAACGTCCAAGTGCAATCTGTGGGTAATGTCGAGTGCGAGTGGAGAGATGCGGGAGAAGGAGGTATAAGAGGTATACGGGCGCAGGATAGAACTTTATGGGATATAATGGAAAGGTGGTTTGATAGGAATAAAATGCTGTTAAGGGATGGGGATGTGGGGGTAATAGGGGATGCTTGTATAGTAGACAACACAGCAGGGAAGAAAAGGAAGAAGCAAGAGGAGATGGCGCTGCCAGACTTAAAGAAAAAAGTGCACGAAAACATGCAGAGTGTAGGGGAGGATATGGAAGAGAAAGTAGCAGAAATATTGCCCAAGGTAAAACAGTGCGCTGGGAGTGAATGCATAAAGAAATTCTTACAGCAGAAGAAGGCGGCAGAAGAGGCAAAGGGCAAAAATAAGGGGACCCACGCCCCTTCGAATGTGGAAACAGGAAAAGAAACCGGACAGTCAACTGGACCAGGGCCGCCGCAGCATATGTCGGGAAGAGGGCACTCGGGAGGAACACGGTCGCCTTCACAGGTAGGACTTGGGAAAACAGGGAATGGGCAGGAAACGCGGCGACCACGCCCTGGAACAGGACCAGGAAGGAGACCACTGCCGACACCATCAAAGCCGAAGTCACCGCCGTCATCTCCCGCAAGTCCGGGGACGGAGGGAGAGGGGAAATCGGGAAATGAGAACACCGTTAGCAAACCCGCCCCGGCCACACCCGCCCCGGCCACACCAGTAGCGGCGACACCGGTGGGAACGCAGGGGACGGGGGCGGCAGGGGGGACGACGTCAACGACGACGAGGGCGAAGCCTATCGACGTAGGCAAGTGTGATGGAGACTTAGCACGGCAGCACAAGGCGCGTACAGTGTACGTGGTGCCCCCGCGTGATGTAAGTTAGATTAAACAGCGACAGCAGGCATGACGAGGACGCCGGACTGGAACACACAGGAATTTATTCATACGCTTACATGCATGTATATGTCATGGTGTACATGTATTGACGGCGCATAACATAGGTAGCACGTGCCCATGGGCACTTTTTTAATGTCCATGTGCAACATGTAGAACGACGACTGGAACAAGTGGAAGGAAGTGTTGGAAGATTTTAAGACATATATGGAGACTAATAAAGAGCATATGGATTCGTACGGTGCAAACTGTTATAATGTAGGTTGGGATGATATAACAGTAAAGAAAGAGTATTACATGGGCCAAAAAGTAGCGGACGTAGTCAGGTGCAGAGTTATGACGCTTGCATTGGGATGGGCAAATGGGTGGGGCCCGGATAATACCATTGGTAGCAGCGGAAACACGGACGCGCAGGAGAGGCAGAATATGCGCAAGTGTGAAGTCGCAAATATATTTGGACACCTACTGCGACATAAGTATTGTCCGACACAGCAACACTGGAGAAGAGGTGTAGAGTATTCTCGCATAGAATTCAGGAACATGAAGAGCGCGGCAGAAGGTGGAATTGGACACGTCGGAGGTCCTGTTATCGACGGCAGGTGCACAGCATGTGGGTACAAGGGCCATGAGAGGCTATCGAGAGCAATAAATTGGCAGGTAGTAGACTGGTTATTGCACAACGCGCATATATTGGACGGAATTGATAAAATAGACGGCGGGGAGTACTGTAATATGAAGTGGGCGGATTATACACCAGGAAAGAGGCAGGAGAACGACAAGAATGCGGTGGACGACACGAAGATCCATAAAATAAAGCAAGAGCAGGAGACAATAAGGACCGTAGCAACAAACAAAATGGACGAAGTGCAGGAAGCATTAGAAAAGAAGATTCAGCAAAAGCAGGCTCAGGACAGGACAGGTAAGGATAAAACCAGTACGAACACTAAGGATACACATAGTCCCAAGACGCCCGGTACGGATACCACAGCCGTCACCGTTACTGCCGAATATGGATGCCGCCATCACAACACGCACGCGCGAACAACAACGCACACGGTGGAACGGCCAAACGCACGGTGACACAGCACAGCGCTGCCTCTTCTCGGCCTCACTTCGTGTGCCCCACTTTGGTTGAGCGATGAGTGCGTGACGGCCACGACGGCAGCGGTAGCGGCACGGACGGAGATGAGTGCCCCCGGTAGCGGTCGCGCACGACGACACATAAAAGTGCACTGCTACCATCGCAACCCCACTGCACCGAGTAGACAGTCCACCTCACCGTACGCTTGCTGCCGCCTGACCCAGTTCACCGAGTCTTACCCCGACCCACTGCATCGACCCATGCACCCGACCCTACCGGGCCGCTACCTGACAGCACCGTCCCGGCCCCTTCTTTCTGTACCACTTGTGTCCTTTGTTGTTATCATCTTTCTACCATGTGTCGTTGTCCCCCTTGCAGAGAAGGAAAAGGGCAAGAAGGCAGAAGGGCAGTCTAACGGGAAGAACACAGAGGGGCCGACCGACAACAGGGATAAGAAGCAGCACGACAAGGCAGATCAGACACAGACACCGGGAGCATCGTCACCATCAGCAGCAGTAGGAAGGGCAGATCCATCGGGAGCAGAGAATGGGGGGTCGCAACCACAGGCACCGGCATCTCCAGTATTACCAGCACCACCGTCACCACCTCCTCCGCCTCAACCACCAGCACGTCCAGCAGCAACAGAAAATGCAGTAGGGACAGAGGGAGCAAAGGGGGAAACAGGACCAACAGAACCCAAGGCAGGATCCGACGCAAGACCGGCAGTACCAAACGGAGACACCGGCGAAAAAAGTGCAAAAGGTGAGAATTCCACAGTTCATACACACGCCGCAGGCACCAGTAACGTACCTCAGGGGCATGGTGAGGGGTGCCCTGCAGAGGCCACTACTCCAGAGCATCTCGCAGCCCTGGAAGCCTGCCTCGACAGAGAGCGAACTAAAAAATCCGGTGACACGGAGAACCTGGACCAGGATGTACCCACACGGGGTACTTGGGTTATACATGGGGGTGTACCTACCAGTGAAGTATCTACGCGAATATCCCCAACTATTGACCCCACCTCTATAGTTCCATCCGGTTCCTCTGGTACCGGTAAGTTCGTATACCCAGGCAACAGTGTTGTGCACATCGGTCGGTCCACACATACACCACCACGAGCACACGGTGCCAGGTTTTTAACACAAAAAAAAGGAAAACAAAAAAAAAAAAACATTTTAGGAGACAGAGGGAGAGACACCACGGAGAGAGGGACACAGAAACCTAACGACGAATGAGAGCGACCGCCCGAGCGATGGGTCGGCCGCGAGGGAGCGTAAGCCGCCGCAGCAGCTAAAGAGACGTAGACGTCAACGGCGACGTAGACAGACACAGACAGACACAGACAGACACTGTGTGTTGTGTGTGTGTTGTGTGTGTGTTGTGTGGCAGACAGACGTCGACAGCGACCGACACACACACTGTGTGTGTGTTGTGTGTTGTGTGCTGTGTGGGAGAGAGAGAGAGTCTTTTCCTGGAGTGGCACCCTACCCCCGTCCGTCTCCTGCGTCCACGTCAACGAAGTGTTGCTGTGCTCGACTCAACGAGGGGGTGATGTTGCGCACCGCGCTGTTGGTTGTTCCCGTGTGCGTTGTTGTGGTGGGCGCATGCATATGGTGGCCGTGCGTGTTTGTGGCCATGGCGTTGTTGTGGTGGCATCCATATGCGGCAGTATGGAGGCGTACGGGTCATGCGGGCCGGCCGTGTCGAGCCGTGTTGGTGTGCGTGCCGTATTGGTGCTTTCTCCCATCGGTCCTTAGCTGGAGGTTCCTGTGGCGTTGCCGTCTCAGTAGTCGTCGTGGCCGGTTTGGGCGGTTCTTTGCCGTCTACTTTGCCGGATTCTTCTGGTTTATCGCTCTTTACAGAGTTTGGTGCTTTTGCCTCAGTATCATCATGCGCAGGACCTTTACTGGGGTCCTCTCCGCTTGGGTTTATGGATGCTCCATGGTCCCGCGCCCATTGCAGTACCTCTGTCTGTACCTCCTCAACTATGTTCTTCAATTCTTGGCCTAGTTTCTGTATCAGTGTTTTCTCCTGTGTCTGCAGTTGTATTTTGTCAAGCATGGCATGTGTACCCTCTGTGGCCGCCCCAAGTTCTTCTAATTTTTTGTTACATATGCTTTGTATTTCGGGCCGTGCAATTTTGTCAGTCAACGTCTTGTTTTTCTTTAACCATGCCTGAATCTTCTGTGCCATGTCGAATTCCTCTGTTTGTATGTTTTGCAACACTCCGTGCCCACATTTAGCTCTGGTTATTAAACCACCCTTTAACCCTTCTTCCATCTGTTTCATGGTGTACCATGCATACCATAAACCCCAGGCGCCTTCACATGATGATTCCTTCAGTATTTCCATATACATATTGACAATGGCACACCGCACATATTCCTTCAGGTCATCATCATTACTAACCCCCCTACTCCGTCCCGACATAGTCCAACTGTTCTCATTCATAAAATATAATGCTCCTACCATTAGTCTGCACATAATTCTTTCTCCCGCGCGTGTGACTTTGACCTCCGGACCATTAGGATTCTTCGGGTGCTTATAATACACATTTTCACAGTTCTCATCCCAACCCTCCGTATTCTGTTCTGTTATATACCTTATAAATGCTTTTAACTCCGTTTCTATATCATCCCACAGTTTTTCCTGCAATTAATATAACACATATATGCATAGTTTACAACTTGCGCTTCGTCGTTTACATTTAATCCACCTCTGAATACATTGCTGTGCACAATGCACTAGGCGCGCGCGCACTATCATAACAGGGGACTCCGTCCATACTCATTCACATATGGCACGTATCTGCGCTCCATAAACTGCCTCCCCATTATGCATAAGCTAAGTAAGGTGCACTGCGTTTAATATCGTGCC